TGTTGATGCACCATGTGCCTCTCCCCCGCGCAGGATATAAGGCTTTGAATGTGATCGTGATTGGAGCATGATCCGACCACGTTCGTTTACCTATATTGACCTCTAGCATATTTTGTAAAGTAGATTTATTGACTAAGCACATGTACTGGGGAGAAGAATGTATAGTCAGTTGTAGACGGATAAATGTTGTGCCACGTGTCATAAAATCCATAGAGAGGTATGGTCTCTTGCCATATAACCATGTAATTCTAGCTCTGAGTCCAACATACTGTTAAAGTCACCACATATAATAGTGTGACCCTTACTCATCCGTGTTATGCATTCATTGCTTTGTTTAGAGAAGAAGATTGTTAATTATTAGGGGCCCTTTTATATAAAAATGTGACTCTTGCAGACACAGCACCGCTGCCTTGGATTTGTGCAGCTCTTGGATGGCTAAGCATCTCCTAGGCGGGCTATTCGGGTCCATTCACATTTAGCGACAGAAAAGAAAACGTGTAAGCCATTAGCTGGTGTAGGAATGGTTTATGGTACTGTTTTATAATGTGTTGTGCTGTTCAAATTTGTTATAGTGGTTGCAGCCATGAGAAAGTGGTCGTAATTTTAAACTTAGGAAAGTACTCATGAGTGAGGGGATCCCCGACTGTCCAGTTAGAACAGGGGGCAAAAGAGGGCACCTGTCTCCAAAGTTTGAGAGAAGTCTACTGGTAAAACATAAACAAATTTAATATAAACATCAACATAACATAAATAAAGTATATACAATCACTTTCGATGTGGAGAGTGCAACCTGCAGTCTGGTGAGGGACTTGTTGGTCCATGCAACCACCTGAGCAATTGTGGTAGGAGAGGCTGTGTCCTCCAGCTCTGGTACAAACGACTGGCACAGTGCTTTGATGTAGGCCAGGAGTTGGTCTGCGGTAACACAGTCTGCAATGCCACAAAAGCAGACTTTGTTAGGGCGGGACCTCAATGTTGGCTAATTTGTTTTTCAGCATGATATGCTCTTCCTTCAACCTCTGGATTCTATCTGCCACATCATTATATGCAACGCGCAATTATTCTGTTTTATTTTCAAGGTGGTTGGTCCTCTCACCCAAGTCTGCGAGGATTTTGTGGATGGAGGATGTGATCTGTTGGAAGTCTTTCTGGTTCATTGTTCTAAGGTCTTGGAGCATTTTGTAGATACCTTTTTCCATCACAGGTTTATCCCCTAGTGTGTCTGGGGTAAGATCGGGTTCTGAAGGGCCATCTGATATCGGATAGTGTGTGGCAGAGTCGGTTCCATCTTGTTGCAATTCGTGGCATTCTTTTCTCCCCTGTCAGAACGGCTTAGTGAGCTTCATTTGCTTCGACGGTGACATTAGTCGGTATCAGGACACAGAAAGTATTCCGAAATCGTGTTTTTTCAGAGAAAATCCATTCTTATATTTAGCTTTCCCAGCAGGAAGTCAGCCACGCCACCTTACTTGCAGTCTTAACAGTCCATTTATTATACACTCAACCAGATCTGAATGCAAACCATAATTATTTTCTTTTTATTGTTGGGCTGGAATTAAAGGTATTTTATGAATTACTAAGAACATACTAAGTTTTAATAATATAGTGCAACATTACAGTAGAAATGCTTTGTGTTAAAACAAGTTTTTGTTAGTCAAGAACTCAATCTTATTACATATATGTGATATGCAATAAAAAATCATAATCAATACAATTTGGGCTGTTTAGTTTTTAAATGCCTCCAAAAAAAAATAATTTTTATGACGTTTGCTTTTAAAATATTTATTTTAAGTACAATTTTTCTAATTTTTCTAAAGAGCTAGACATTGCTGGTGATTTGGGTTAGCACATGCAACAAATAAACATTTACCAGAGATTCTCTTGAAGAGGGCTGCCTTTGGTGACGATAACATCCAAAGAGGTACGACATGCAGTGGTGTATCCTGGTTTTGTGCTGCCCTAGGCATATATATAAGCCATTTGTGGAACTATTATTATTATTTTCATCATACACATAGCATATTCTACAGTACTATACAATTATAAAATGGGGACAAGTAGCAGAAAATAACCATGAGACAAAACAATATCGGTAGACAAAGATGATGTCATGCATAAGCTAAGAATAATTGGGGTAAAGAAGGAGGATGGATTGATGCCTGTATGTAGTTAAACTTGTAAAAGTGGTGTGAGGAAGATGTGTAACATGGAAGGTGAGAGTGTGAAGTAGACAGTGGAAGCCCAGTGTATGTGACGATGGCTGGGAAAACTATTATCAAAACAAGAGGTTTAGCAGGAAGCTGGCAAACTTTTCTGAGTTTTAAGTGTTAAGAAAGTGTTTAAAGAACTGGAGAACAGGAGAGGAACAGCATGTTATAGGAGTGGCAGTGACCCTTGAGACATCTTGAAAGTAAGATGTCACAGAGAGGGGCGTTTTAGCCGTGAGGCAAACAAAGCATTTGCCTTGGGCGGCATTTTTCAGGGGGCGGCAAAAAACGCCGCCCCCCAAATGCCTAGGACAAATGCTTTGTTAGCCTCGCGGCTAACTGACATGCCGAGCCGGCGGGCGGCGCTGGGTGGGCGGCTGGCGAGGGAGCACTTCCTCTGAGCTGTCTGCTCAGCTCCCTCGCACGCCGCAGAGTGAGGCTGGTAGCCGGAATATGACGTCATATTCCGGCTACCAGCCTCACTCTGCGGCGCGTGAGGGAGCTGAGCAGACAGCTTGAGGAAGAGCTCCCTCGCCAGCCGCCCGCCCAGCAGCCCAGCAGCCACTCGACGCCCAGGGAGAGAGAGAACCCCCTTCCCCCAGCATTGCCAAAGGTAAGGAAGTGTGTGTGTGTTAGTGCGTGTGTCTGTTAATGTGTGTGTGTGTGTGTCTGACTGTGTGAGTGTCTCTGTTAGTGAGTGTGTGTGTGTTTGTGTCTGCTAGTGAGTGAGTGTGTGTCTGTTAGTGTGTGTGTGTCTGACTGTGTGTGTCTGTTAGTGTGTATGTGTGTGTCTGACTGTGTGTCAGTGAGTGTGTGTGTGTCTGCTAGTGAGTGTGTGTTTGCCTGTGAGTGTGTGTGTGTGTCTGTTAGTGTGTGTCTGTTAGTGTGTGTCTGTTAGTGTGTCTGTCTGGCTGTGTGTGTGTCTGTTAGTGTGAGTGTGTTTGCCTGTGAGTGTCAATGAGTGTGTGTCTGTTAGTGAGTGTGAGTGTGTCTGTTAGTGTGTATGTGTGTGTGTTTCTGTTAGCGAGTGTATGCGTATCTGTCAGTGAATGTGTGTGTGTGTATTTTGAAAGCGAGGCGGGGGGAAGGGTTGGGGGGGGCGCCTGAGTTTTGTCCTGCCTAGGGCAGCACAAAACCAGGATACACCACTGGTCACAGACATTCAAAAGGGTTTTGGAATTAAAGGAGGGATTGTAATGATGAGTGTAATTGTATATGGCTTTGTATGTTAGTGACAGCATTCTAAATTGGATCCTGAAACCAATGTACGTAATCTCAACTGTGTAAGGTGTGAGAGGAGTGGTTTGTAATTCAAAAAAATAATTTTCTTAACCAAAGTGCCCACTGGCTACTTTACAAATAGTTAACTAATAATTTAATTCAGTCATAAAAGACCTATTATGTTGGTCCATTCTCTAGTCTCACACTAAATGTGTGTGAATCTTAACACATCTTCACTTTTCACCCACGTCTTCCTTACTCTAAACAGTGGATCAAATATATATATTTTTTTATGTTTAAAAGACCAAACACTAACAGGGAAGATCAGCCTGATAGTCACCTCATATAGCATGATTTCTCTAAAACTAAATGCATTAAAACTGTATTTAAAATTGGGAAGAAGTACAACAGATGCCTAATAGAAAAATTAAACGTTGAATTAGACAGATTTCATATGTTATGAATGTAGCAAACTGGGTCCTATACCAGAGTACGCCCCAGTTTCCTGGTGGGGGACTGATGGCTCACCTCCTGCCCAGGGATTATGGTCCCAGAAAGATGGGACCCTTTAAGTACAATGGCTGGGATTAATGGGATTTTGTATGGCACTACTGGCCCTTATTTTCTCACATTTTTTTTTAATTTTATTCATAATAAATTATGTTCCATATATAAATAGTTAATGATAAATTAAAGCCCTGTTTCTCCCGAACAAAATGATATATAATAAGTGTGGGTGCACTTAATGTGACAGCGGTGAATTACGGTTGAACAGACATATAGCGCAAATTCCAGTTTTTGTTTACGTTTTGTTTTGATCAGAACGTGTACTATTGACTTGGTCCTGAAGGGGTTAAGCATCTTTTGAGTTTGGTATGCTGTTTACTAAAACATTTTATTTATTTTTTTAAACAATGGTTTTATTGTTCTAGGAAATCTAGGAACTCATGGAAAAGCCTAATTAAACTACTTCTCATTGGATTCTCATTTCTGTATTGATATTCATTTTCTATTGTGTCTGTTTAGTACATGCATTAAATTAGTATTGTTTGCCATAGGCTACCATGTAATTACTGTTAAACTATGAGTGCAAATAGCTAATAAAAGTATAAAAAACTCCAACTGAACTCAACCCACAGTAAAATTAATCCTAAATTATAAATGTGTATAACTGTAAATTGTCTTAAAATACTAAGAATCTAAGAAGTGGATATACAGAAACACACATGCCTGTAATGTGATCATCATAAAATATATAAATATATTGGAAAGCGTAGCCTGAAGTTGTGGGAGGGGTTAACCGGCTATTTAAACTCAGCCCCCCTACACCACAGGGCTGGTTCATTTCTACTTCTGGTTCAAAGGTCATCAACACAGACTGCCTAAAACTCTAAACATGCTGGTCTGGCCCTACTGTGACTCCTACGCCGATCGGACCAAGTTTTCCCTGCTCCAACAACTCCCATCCTGCTGTTCCAGCCACATGCGGTCAGAGACTCCCACGCCGATTGGTCCAAGTTCTCCCTGCTCCAACAACTCCCGTCACGCTTTTCCAGCCACATGCGATCAGAGACTCCCACAACGATCGGACCAAGTTCTCCCTGCTCCAACAACTCCCATCATGCTGTTCCAGCCACATACTGTCAGAGACTCCCACAATCATCGGACTAAATTCTCCCTGCTCCAACAACTCCTATCACGCTGTTCCAGCCACATGCGGACAGAGACTCCCACGCCGATCAGACCAAGTTCTCCCTGCTCCAACAACTCCCATCACGCTGTTCCAGCCACACGCAGTCAGAGACTCCCACGATAATCGGACCAAGTTCTCCCTGCTCCAACAACTCCCATCACGCTGTTCCAGCCACATGCGGTCAAAGACTACCAAGCCGATTGGACCAAGTTCTCCCTGCTCCAACAACTCCCATCACACTGTTCTACCCACATGTGGTCAGAGACTCCCACGCCGATCGGACCAAGTTCTCCCTGCTCCAACAACTCCCAGCCACACGCAGTCAGAGACTACTCACCTCCTCTCCAGAACAGGCTGTTCGTTCCCGCCGGCGCTATGAGACCCTTTACCGGCTTCCCGGGACTTTTCCTGGACCAAACCTCTGTGTCCACCAAGTCTGGGTCAAGTAGTTTGTTTCCTGTACCAGTCAAATCCACAAACCGTGAGTTTGCCTGTATGGGCGAAATCCATGAACACACAATTGTTCACACGTTTACGTTCTTACATACCGTCCATTCTGGACTTTTTCCCATTCAGGACTTAAGTCAGTTCACCTACTCCTGCCTGCTCTTTGTTCCATTCCTATCCGCTAGTTTCTTTTCGTCAGATTTCTACCGAACTAGTCTACAGTCTATCTCAGTTAAATGCTTCCATCTAGCGGCCACCACAATCATAGTACCAATTCGTTAGTTTTACACTGTTCCCTGATACATGAATGTCCAGGTTGGTTTTTGAAAGTATTTAGCCTGCTACTAGTTAACCTTAAATGCCCCCTGTAGTTCGGTTATGTTTGCTATGTTTCTTGTTATTATTTACGATTGTGCACGGATATTGTCAGTTTCCCATTACTAATTCAGCTCTGGTAAGCGTTTAATATTCACTACGTATATTGCATTACCATCATATATCGCATATGTCTTATTTTATCACTCATGGACTTGGTTCTGTTATGAGGCAGTCATCATGTTCACATTTGTTACCATGTGTTATGGCCAGTCTGTATACTTGCTCCCATGATGGGTATATTACTTATTTGGCGGACGACCACCTATTCGCTAAACCTTTTTGTAACACGCCACACTCCTATGTTTAGTATTTGTATCGTCATGTTCCCTGGGACAAACCCTAGTGTACCAGGCTTTACCTAACCATCATATGTTCCCTCTGACTCTACGTCAAAATAATTACGTATTATGCAAAAGGTTATTTACTCAAGTTCATCATCCTAACCGACCCTTGCTATTCAGGCATAGTATCACCAAACCTACAGCAACTCCACTCTAACTGTTCTATGTTACATCAGCCACCTCTGGCACGCAATTCCTCCGCCAGGCTATACACAGGCCCACGCCCAGGGATCCTTAATTCTCCACACATTCACCCCCCTTCCCATGATGGCACGACCATAATTAAATATTCTAAGTCCTACCGGGATAGCTCAAAACTGCCCTCATAGCTTGGTATTCCATATCTCCCTATATGTATTTTAGCTGCAGAAGTCACAGGACCAATTAGCGGTCACTCATGACTCTGCCTATCCCCCATTATTGTCGCAGTATTGGTTAAACACTCCCCATGGTGGTCTCTGGTAGTGGTCTAGGATCCTCACCCTACTCACTTATAGGGATATTTGATATGTCCTATGAATCTTGTACCCACCATCGTAGGGTCAGGATTACCTATTCATAGACCAGCCTCAAGAACAACCACCCCGATTATACAGGCATATTTCTTTCACAGTAAGTCAAGCCCAATTCCAGTTCCAACTTGCCTCCCACCATCATTTCCCTTTAGGCTCTCCAATATCTCATTCCACTGGCAAGGAAACCACATTCTACCCCAAGCAAGGTATGTTTACCCACCTTGCTACTACCCATCACTCGTCCCATTCACAGATCCGGTATGTCAACTGGCGGCCTGGTTCCCAGCTGTGCCAGTAACTAGCCTCATCATTATCAATTCCATGAGATCAACACTCATCTTCATCCGCAAATGGAGGTATACGCCGCTCGGCCCAACACAGCTAACGCTAATATCAACCTCTCCAGGTTACAAGTTAGGGCCTCACCCAGCATGGCCTCTTATATTGACTCTTTTTACAGTCCCTGAGAGACCAACGTTCTTGCCACACCTTTCAGTGGCCCCTGCCCACAAGGCCAAATCACATGAAGTCAAACAGTTGATATCCACTCTACTTGCCTACATACATAACATAAACGATGGACTACATAGACTGGAATCTCCACAGGCACTGACACACAGCCACAGGACTCCCAAATCCCTCTCATGGTTATGTTATCCTTTCAAATCCCGTCCCTAGCACATTGGTTTACATTATTACTCCCTCGTACTTTGTGTCCCTGACCATATGCAAAGACATCTGGAAAGGTTAATTTTAGTCTCCTTACTGATTGCCTCCCACGTGTGTCTTAGAGTACAAGTCTTACTACTACGATGATCTGTACGTCGTTCTATACACCAGAATCCCAGACTCAATCAGAAACTCACTATTCCAGAATTCATCCTAGCCTTTAGACTTTCGTGACGTAAGTGGTTCTACTTCTCCTCGCCATAGAGAAGGTTTGCATCGACAACCTGGAGTTTTACCTCTAAGCACAGCCTTTCCGTCACTCAGTCGACTTCTACATCAAGGTTTCCACACACCAGTTCCACACAGGTCTGGTCACACTCCTGTCTGGTATTCACGAGTGTCAGAACCTTCAGTCCGCATTAATAGACCCCGCAACACAATCACGTTGCTTAAATAGGTATTTGATAACTATATTAATTACCCACCCCTAGCCTCAACTCATTGATTTCCTCTAAGGAACTCTCACAGCACTATGCCAAAGGGGTTGACTGGAGCTTGGATGGGCAAGACAGACATTTCCTATGCCTCCAAGCTTCTACCTATTCAGCCATCCGCATGTTTGTGGCATTTTATGGAGGGATTGTCATGACTTTCCCACACGTGTAACTTTTAGAGCAAAGACTAACCCTAAGTTAGTCTTATTTGCTAACACACTATGTTGACTAACACTCAATATTAGCTAATGTCCTACAGTCACCCATTATCTTAGATTACTTCCTCGCAATAGAACGCCCTCACTCCGCTCTGGTTAGTATTCACAAGATGATGGCACTTTTCCTCACTATGGGTTCCACTTTCACAACCTGGCATTCATCTTGACACTAATACGCTACAGAACATGTCCACCTACAGAGAAGGTACAGCGCATGGGAGTCCTGGGAACCTTTCCTTCTGAAGAACACGCGTGGGGGGGGAGGGGGTGGGAGAATGGATCTACAGTCCTACTGGGCACATTGAAGTTCGCCATGAGAATTATTCTGCACATTTATTTCCCAACTGCTGAGTCTTCTTCCCACTGACAGTTGCATTCTGGCACTAGTTGTAAGCAGACCTACACATATGGCTCAGGTTTATACCACACTGGAATAGCAGACCAGGTTATTCCCGCCATTTCTCATCATTTCCCAGTTACATGGACCAATGTGTCTGCACACACTGATTTCCCAGCCAATTTGGTGACTTTTGGTTCTGAGATGCCTGGCCAGTTGAGACTCTTGGGGGGAAAAAAACAAAAAAAACACTTTTCATTACTCGTCCACATTTCTTTGGAATCTACCCCATAGTGGCCGCCTACAAGGCCTGGGGAGGTATGAGTGGATAGGGGAACCAGTCAAGTGCTTCTCTGACAATAAAGCAGCTGGTTATACCCACATTCCATGGCTTAATCCTGCACTAACTCACCTCATGGCATTTGGCAGATTTCTGGGTTGAGCTGCCCTCTCTGATTATACATCACGAGCATACAATAGAGATTTCACCTTTACAACAAGTTTACCACCAATTGCCATAATACCAATATTCGTTCACTAGTCGCCATTGCGGCACTCCTCTCCTTTTTGCCCACACAATTTAAAAAATCTCTCTTAACACTACAAAACTTACCTGGCTGGAATACAACACCATATCTTAAGTGCCTATCCTAGTACCAAACAGTTCACATCCTCTTACCATATGTAATATGTAGGGACATAAGGACTATCCCACGGACAATAAGGTGCCGGTCAAAATGTCAGACCTTTACAGATTATCACTCACTGGACCAAATCTCAATATACCCCTATTTAACTGCAGAGCAAACCACTCAATACAGCTAAATTCATAATGTACCTCAGAACCCTCTTAACTAGGCGGGGACTCAACCCCAATGCCTTTTCGGGACATTCCTCAAGAATCAGGGCAGCATCAGCTGCTTCCAGACAAATGTCCCTGCTCACACCATAAACATTAGGACGCTGGAAATCCACAGTATTACTAGATATATACCACAACCAGAGCTAGAGTTGAGTAGGACAAGCCTTACGAATCTTGCAACGTAAAGATGTGTAATAAGGTATCTTTCGGCAAACCACAACCGACTTGCTCATATAGCTAACTTATCATGTATACGGCTTTTGTACCCGACTACAAATTGGAAGGCGTAGCCTGAAGTTGTGGGAGGGGTTACCCCGCTATTTAAACTCAGGACCCCTACACAACAGGGCTGATGCTGCCTGGTTCATCCCTCACACCTCTCCCCTTATACATATTACTATTACAGGTGGGCCCTCTTTTATTACAGGCCTACCAGATACGTCGGTTTCGGCACACCACAACCGACTTGCTCATATATCTAACTTATGTATACGGCTTTTGTCCCAGACTATGTGTGTATGTGTATATATGTATGTATATATATGTATATGTATATGTGTGTGTATATATATATATATATATATATATATATATATGACATACATGTGATATCTGGATGCAATTTTTGAGGGCTTCGCTGTGTAGACCTTCCCTCTATATACCTGTGTCCCACCACTTACTTGACATATCCACACCTTCTTACTAATACAAAACCAGATCAAAACACCACTAATTGGAAAAAGGTGGCAAGTTACAGGAAGAAGAAATTAAAAATACCATAAAATATTAATACATATGCTTGTATATATTTAGCGTCCATATACTACAGTCACCCAGATCTTAAGGCAAACAATAATTATTTGCTTTTTATTGTTGGTCTGGAATTAAACGTATTTCACAGTTACTGAGAACATGCTAAGTTTTAATAATCTAATGTTTTGAGATAAAATAATTTGTTAGTCAGGAAATCTCATTACATGTGATACACAATAAAAATGCAAAACAAATAAAATTTTGGCTGTTTTGAAATGTAATTGCCTCCACAAATTTTTTTATTTTTTTTTTAGAAATATTCCCAGAAGACACCAATAAATCTCATCCTCTGTTGAAACTAGAGATACAGATGGCTGATAATGGTTTAAAGTGTGTACTTGGCTTCAAACATTTTGCCAAAGGAGCATCTATCCTGTTTGCTCTCTCATAGAAATATCTACGTGTTGATTTCAACTGCTATGCAATTTTATCTAATAAAAGAGTTTTAATTTTTAATCTATTAATTTTTAGGTCCTGTAGTGTTTGTTCTGACGGGGCTGTTTTGTGTTTTTGTTCCAGCTTACGTATATATTGCTGTAACTCAAACAATGATTCTGATTGTATCTTTTTCTTATATGAGGCCATTTTAATCAATTCTCCACTAATTACACTTTTATGAGCTGGTCATAAAGTGGTTTTTACTAATTTTGGGTGTATTATTTTCTAGAAAATAATTTGAGAGTGCATTTGTAATGTCTGCTCTAACAGAGATCCCTCAAAAGAGTATTAAGGCACCATGAGTAGGTGGGTTTGACTGATAGTCCTTTTATGAAAACAGCAACTTTTGGTCCACTGATACTGGACATGCTCATGCTTTGCATGAGGAAATCCAGCATCAGCTAAAATACCATTGAAAAGCACTGATTAGGAATACAACTATAGTTTCCCTTTAAGGACACAAGCAATTTTTTGATTTTTTTTGTTTTGTCTTCAACTGCAATTTGTATTTTTTTTCATTTATTGCCCCAACACATATTGTATACTGTTTTTTTTTTTTTAAAGGACAAAAAGGGTTTTGATCTGATGTGACATACACATATATAAATTATTTTTTACTATTAAAAACATTTTTAAAAAAATATACAAAAAAAGTAACTTTATTTTCACTGTTCTGGAAATAATGAGTGGATAATGCCAGGCTTAGAGAGCACCCTGGATGGTCACATGTTAGCCAAGCTCCGCAGCTCACTGGCCCAAAAAAACTTTGCATAACGCATCTTCCAGCACCTATAGAAGGATAGCTCAACAGATCAATAATGGAACAGAAGAAAATGGTGGAGAAAATAGTACAGGATTCTTCCCTCCAAACATTTAGGCTCTCCTGCCTGCATCGCCTACCACAAGTGGAGCTCACATCACAAAGAAGTCCTGCAATCCTGCCTTGATAATTTGATAGATAAGATAATGGACAATATACAAAAGACCATATTAGAGATCTGATAAAGCATCATAAGACTTCTCTAGGGCTGCAGCGTTCCTGTAGAACTCACTTCCCTCCTCCGTTAGATGCTCACCCAGTCTCCACTCCTTCAGAAAATCATTAAAAACCCACTTCTTCATAAAAGCGTATCAATTAAACTGTTAATAGCTTCCAACTGATTCCTCTCTTGCAACTGTCATTAGTCTAATTCTATCCTTACCTTTTGTGTCACTTTACCGCAGTCCCTGTAGCATGTAAGCTCATTGAGCAGCGCCCTCAACCCCTCTGTTCCTGTGTGTCCAACTTGTCTGGTTACAATTACATGTTTGTTCATCCACCTACTGTAAAGCGCTGTGGAATTTGTTGGCACTATATAAATAATAACATAATAATAATGGAACTGGGAGACAGGACAAGAAGGGTTGAGCAGCACATGGAGGAATATGCTGAAGTACACAACAGCATGGCTGACCAGGTGTAGCAGCTGGAATAACAGCTTGTGGCAACTCAAAACAAGCTTTGGGATCTGAAAGACTGATCAAGAAAGCATAACTTGTGCATCAGAGTGGTGCCAGAGGAAGTGAGATCCCAGG